CCAGCCATGAAGGGAAAAGTCAAGAAGGTCATCGAGAACACCACAACCATCCGCTACGACACAGACGGGAGGAAAGTCGAAGAGATCCGGCAGCATCGAGCATACCATTTGGACTTCGAGCATGTCTTCCAGACCGACACCTTGTAGAACTTCTACTTTGAGTTGTTCGGTTTTTTAAAAGTTATCTAAAGTTTTATAAAGTTTCTGTTCATCCCAGTGTCTAAAAATGTTGTGTTTATCTAAAGGTTTGATACGTTTTCATAAAGGGACTTCACCTCATTTTAATTACTTTGAAGAGGAGGCGTCCAGTCTAGAGGCGCTTGAGGTGTTGCCACTTGATGCCTTAAATTTGGAGGCGCTTGTGTAATTTAGTTGATGCTCCAGTATGTACACCTTGAACCTTGAGTGGTGCGAGCGCGAGCAAGCAATCATTGTCTAACTATAGAGGGTGCTAGAGCGCTACTGCGCTTGTTGCACACAGCGCGCGAGCGGCAGTGCGAGTTCAAAAATCGTCTGGGACGGATGTGCTGAGCTGTGCTCAGGTATTGGAGGCTACAGTGTGCGCTTCCTCGAATCGAGCGTGGGCCATTGCTAGGAATACTTGGGTGGGACTGCGATGGGATGCCGATAAGGAAACAATATTACTGGGAGACAGCACAGCTAGCGCTAGGCGGATCAGAGGCACTCATGTATTCATTTATTTATTTACTTATAAGTATGGCAATCAGTTAATTAGTGAGGATATAATTTAATCGATGATAACTGTGAGGTTCAAGCAGCAGTAATTTAGCGATAACTAAAGGAGGTCACCTCATCATCATTTCCTTGTCCCATTTACTCCTGTCCTGTCTGTTCCCAAGGAGGTTTACTGAGGGTCCAGTCGTTAGCCCTGTGCATTAAGCGGTACATTTCCGCCCAACAGGCCTACTCCACCGGTCTTGGGTCTCGTGATAATTTGGTAAATCCACTGCACATTTTTACTGTCACTGTTATCTTGTAGAAGGTCAGTTACCTTGAATTAGTGAACAAAGCGAGACAGGAGTTGCTTTGTCAGAAGGAGAAAACAATGAAGATGCTTCTATGTGAGCAGAGAGAACAACACGCTACCACTTGGGGCTAGTTTCTCGATTCTTCTTTGCATTTCTTCGAAGTAACCCACGACATGTTTTCCCACCGGCTGACACATTTGTTTGCATTTTCGTTGAACTCCAAACAGACGAGAGCACGGAATAATATGCTCTGCCTCTCCACAACCATATGTAGTTCAACCACTTTTGTAAACTCCATTTGATTAAGGCAGTCTGTGATTGGCCAGTCCCGGTTCTAAAGCGGCTGATAGTTTTCCATTGAACCCATGTCGATGTAGCACCTGTTGGGAGGTTTTCCGCCGGTGTTGTAGTATTACCATGACAATCGGTAAGCGTTGCTTCCCAGTCTTTGCTTCCAGTGCTAGAGTCTGGCCTCTTCCTTGGATGTTGTGAAAAAGTGGAAATGGCTAAGGAAGCTTTTATTGACTTCAGCTTTTGTGCATATGCCGAAGCTTGCCGTCTCTGAAGGAGGTGACGCTCGTCATTGATCACTTTGGACATCTTAGCTCGGCTTACAACTTCCCTTCGGATATCCGCAGATAAATGCCAGCAAAGAGGTACAAATCACTTGTGTTGGTGGGTTTCTAGCATCCAGTGTTCAAACTGCGTGTTGTAATAAGGCTGAGACATGGGATGATCTCTCCCAGACGAGGCGCGCATACTCTGCTGAAGAATAGCACGGAGCCAAAGCGGTTGATCTTAGGATATGTGGTTTGGCTCCCCATTTGGAGGTTGTTCAATTTCCTTTTTATGTTTATACATGAGGGTTGGTTTTGCGGTTAACGTTCCTGAGATGGAACGAGCAGACTTGGGCCTTACGAGATTTGCACGCAGGTGATTGCACTCATAGTATAGAGACGGCTCATTAAGTGCCGAGTTAAATGTTGCTTGTATGGCTACGAACGGAATGTCTTACGATAAAACACAAAGAACGTCCGCGTAGATGAAACGTTCAGTGTCCTGGTCTCTTGGATTGTAATTTATGTAGACGTTATATATATGATATTGGTCTATCGCTGTACCACATTTGACACTGTTGTCATAAAATGCACTATAGGTTTGATATGTCATCCACTATGGCCGATTTGAGTGATTTATGGTTAGGGTAAGCAAAAATGGCCATAGCGAGCCCAATTTTCAAGACAGAAAGCTTATCTACCACTCAAATTAAAGCATGTGGTCTCAGGCAGTTTTTTTCAATTACAAAGAAAGTGTGTATCTAAAGAATAAGTATGACCTTTAAACTCATCTCTGTCCCCAAATAGGGCAAAGTCACAGGATTTTGGGGCTGTCCGCAAAGCAATATACACCTGGGAACACAAATGCGGATAAACTTGGGACCAACCATATTTTTTCTTGTTTACCCATCCTATCAGGATGGTAAAAAGTTGCAACGGGCCACCATAGGACCATTTGTGAGAGAGCAGTGGCCCAAAATGTGATTTTAGCTGTTTCTCAAAAACTAAGCCCCAAAATATCGGGGTTTCTTTTGGAGCTGGAAGGCCAAATACCGGCTCTGCAACTTAAGAGCAGCATTATCAGACGTCCAAGGGTACCCTACAACAAAAAATAATATTAAGATTAATGAATCAATTTTGCGATTAAATGACCTTATCCCAGAGACTATTAGAGGTATATGTGCAAGCGAAATGCCCCATATCCTATTCAAGTAAGCTTACCCCATATCCAAAACAAGATTGGGTGTTCGACTTCTTATTTGGCACAAAAAACGCCTTCTCTTTCGCAACCGAGCCAGTTGCAACACAATACAAAGGAAGGTTGAAAGGGAAGGAGGAGGGACATTATTTTCAAACTAAACTTACATGTTTGTCTTTGAAGCTGCGACTTGAAATGATACACACAGCGCGATCAATACGTATTTCTGCCTTTTGGATTGGCCAACGCTGATTGGTTGCCTAGAATTCCGACTGCTGCTATATAAACGAGATATATTCATATTACGTCCGCAATCACGAGAGGTAATACGGCAAGCATGGAAATTGGCACACAGCACCAAACTAATGTTTACGTTGAGTACAATGGATTTTATCATTTACGTGATAAATGTCTTATACTCATTAATATATACATTCAATGCAAAATTCCAATGTTTCCGTTGAGTATCATGAATTTTATCATTTACTTGATAAAATGTCTTATACTCAAACTTCAATAAGACTAGACAGACAACCACGTTGGGTATAGTGGGGCTGTTAAGGTCAAATATATGATACAATTATGCACTTTGTGAATAAAGCATGAAACTTTACATGTTGGTTCTTCATGCCATGAAGAACATTTTCAGATGTGGAGACATTTCATATTTGACCTCTGGTGACCTTTGAGAGGTCAATGAACTTTACATACATTATTTATACTAATTGCTCTTGAAAACACCACTTTCCTATGACCCCAGTCTATGTCATAGGTTTTTAGGCAATGAAATAATGATCAGATATGAAAAAAAAAATCATACTTGACCTCCGGTGACCTTTCAGAGGTCAATAACCTATATATACAGTATTTATAGTAATTTATAAGATTACCACTTTAAACCCCAACTTTTCCAAGACCCAATTCTAAACGTTAGGTGTTCATGGTATGAAAAGCATTTTCATATGAAGGGCATTTCATATCTGACCTCTGATGACCTTTAAGAGGTCAATGAACTTAGTAAAACCGCACTTTTTTATGACCCAAGTCTAAAATTTGGCTGTTTGCGACATGAACAGAATTCTCAGATGTGTGAACTTTCATATTTGACCCCCGGTGGTCTTTGTGAGGTCGATACACTTTGCATACCCTATTTGCCGCTATTTATCATATTTAATATTCCAAATGCCACCTTTTCATGACTTAAGTCTAAATAGTTCAAAACAAGTGTATTTTCACTATTATTCTACAGCATGTCATGCATTCAGACCCCAAGGACAATTTTGTTATGACCTCTGTAACCTCCCCAGATTACAGAAATACCAATACGCTCAGTTTGAAACTCATGCTTGGATTGCTGTCACAAAGTTTAATTCACAATTCACAGTGGTGTGTCTAGTAGCAAGTAACATGTACAGTAGGATGTGGCAAACAATCAGGTTGCAAGTAGTAGTAGCAAGTAGCAAGCAAGCAAGCAAGCAAGCAAAGTTCAACTATAAGAAAAGAAAAACAAAAACTAATTTTGAGTCAAGTGCTCTATAAAGCAATCCATGGTAAGTATAAATAACAACACTTTTCATCTTACAATGTCTTTCAATCATATAAAAGGGCTCAATGACAAACAAGGAGTGACTCACATGGTTCAATTTGACTGGCTAAATAATCCATATTTATACACAAATTTCCTTTTCAATTATGAAAATAAATCTCTAATCACAATCATAAATAAGTAAATAAATGTCAGTAAACTTACTTTTGCTGAGCTTCCAAAGGGATGTCACATATAAATGGCAAATTACAGAGTGTTGTCATAGCATGTCTGCATACATGTAGGTGTCTGCATAGGTGTGCACATGTACATGTACATACACATGTACATGTGGTCATGCATGTCCAAGGAGCTGACCACACCCAATCAAACAGCGCCCTCAGGCAACAAAAATGCAAGAGCTTTTATGCATAATTATGCAAATAAGAAAAGTTTACTAGACTTGTTTACAAGTGTCACATTCGGTCTGTTACATTCCGGCCCCTAATGCTCTTGTAATATCAAGACATTATCTAAACATAAAGACAGAATTTAAACTTAAAGTGTCATCCAACATTCATTACAAAACCCACCACCAATTATAATAATTACAGTCCAACGACACTCATCAGGGTGTGTCAGTTAATAGCAAATCTGTATATGCTCATGCTGATCTCACATGTCCATCACATGAAAACTTCTGCGTTGATCGGCTGACCCTCAGTCCGCATTCAAGAAGTGTCGTTCTCTTGGACCATCATGTCTCCCTCCAAGAGACACAGTTTGTCGATGGGACGAAGATACACTCCAGTATGTGTTTTCACCTGCACAGATCTCACCTTTCCATCCCTGCCTGGGTAAGTCGTCACCACAAGTCCCATGGGCCACTGGTATCGAGGAGTGTTCTCGCTCCTAATCAACACGAGATCTCCCACACTGACATTACGCTTTGGGTTGATCCATTTCTGCCGTTCTTGCAATGATGGCAGATATTCTCTGAGCCATCGTTTCCAGAAGACGTCGGCAAGATATTGAACTTGGCGCCATCTTCGTCTGTGGACATCCTGCTCTACAAACTGTCCTGGAGGCAGCTTGGGTCCGGAGCGGAGGAGCAGCAGGTGATTTGGTGTCAAAGGAGCAAAGTTGGTACCATTATCAGACCTCACTTCAATAGGACGATCACGGCGAGATATGAAACGCTGCAATGCGTTGATGAAAGAGTGACAAATCTCAAGATGAACTGCTCGTGTAGACAGACATGTAAACAAACAGCCATACCGCTTCACTTGGCTTCTGGCACGCTTCACCATAAAAGGGCCAAAAATGTCAACCCTTACCAAGCTGAATGGCGCAAGCCCAGATGTCACACGATCTGCTGGTAAGTCGGACATACGCTGAGTCAAGGTAGGTGCTTTTCTCTTTCTGCATGGAATGCACTTGTGGATCACTTGCTTCACAGCTGAACGACCCTTTACGACCCAGAACCGTTGACGAATTTCTGCAAGTGTGCGCTCTGTTCCAGAATGCCCCGTAGCTTCATGATAATGCCTCACGATTAGTGTTACAACAGGATGCCGCTTGGGTAGAATCGAGGGATGTTTGACATCATCAGCAAGATCAGCATTGCCTAGTCTTCCACCAACTTGCACAAAACCCTCAATTGTCGTATACGGTGACAACTTCCGAAAGGAATGTGACTTCAGAGTAACATCATCAAAACTGATGTGCTGGACATGACGTATTATGGCTTTCTCTGAAGAAGATACTTCATCTACCGTGAGTGGCTGAGATGGCTCTGAAACTGAATTTCCTTTCCCAATCCGGTGAAGGAGAATTGCCTTTGCACGAAGTATCCAAGCGACCGCTTTCCGCAATCGATACCACGAGGAGAAATGACCATAGAGCTTACTCAAAGCGTCTGGCTCATCTTTGGATGTGCAGGTACTATAGATGACAGGGTCTCTTTTCACCTCCAGAACACCTGGTGACACATGGGTATCAAAATCTGGTTGCCTTGGCCAATGAGATTGATCACTGAGTAAGAATTGTGGACCTTGCACCCAACGCTCACTTCCAATTAACTCCTGCGCCGTTAAACCTCTCGAGACATCATCAGCCGGGTTAGACATGGAGTCAACATATCTCCACTGCGATGCCTTGGAGAGCTCCAGTATCCTGGAAATGCGATTGGCCACGAAGGTCTGGTAGCGTTTGTCCTCGTTCCTGAGGTAGTGTAGCACAATCATACTGTCGCTCCAGAAAACACTTTCTTGCAGAGGCAACAACAACTCTCTTCGAATCATTTCGTCTAGTTTGACGGAGACAACACCAGCAGCAAGTTCCAGACGTGGAATGGTAGTTTTCTTCAGAGGTGCTAACTTGGCCTTGGCCATTAGCAGGCAAGAGCTTGCTCTTTCTTCAACATCCTGTAGCCGCAGGTAAGTCACCGCGCCATATCCCCTCTCTGAGGCGTCACAGAAATGATGTAGCTGAACTGTAGCGCTGGAACCAAACCCTTGTGGCCTGATGCAACGGGGTACTGATAGACTCTTCAGCTGAGGTAAGTCTGCCAACCATCTCTCCCACTGCCTAGCAATCTCATCCGGTATTGAATCATCCCAACCAATCTTTCGTCTACAAAGCTCCTGAAACAGCATCTTGGCGGTAAGTATGAAAGGACTAGCAAAACCCAATGGATCATACACCGAGCTGACAATACTTAGCAGTCCTCGGCGTGTCATCGGCTTACTGCTCACATGAACATCAAATGTGAAGACGTCACTCTCTACATCCCAAAGAACACCCAAGGCTCGTTCGGTAGGTAAGAGCTCCCTGTCCAAATCCAGAGAAAGAACTGTCTTTGCTCTCTCAGATGGTGGAATTGTCTGCAGGACTTCACGAGAGTTGCTAATCCACTTCCGGAGTTTGAAGCCTCCAAGAACCAACATACTGCACAACTGGTCGATGAGTCTAATGGCTTCGTCACTGGTGGCAACCGACTTCAGACAATCGTCTACATAGAAATTCTGATCGACAGTCCTGACAGTTTCGGTGTCGTACTTATGGATGTTGTCTTGTGCCGTCTGCTTAAGAGCGAAATTAGCACAACTCGGGGACCACACTCCACCAAATAAATGAGCCGTCATGCGATACACCTTCGGTGAAGAAGATATACTGTCGTTGGACCACCACAAAAACCGCAACACGTCACGGTCTGGTTTGTTGACAACTACCTGATGGAACATACCCTCTATGTCCGCCATGAATGCAACTCGTTCCAGTCGAAAACGCAACAAGACGCCAACCAATTTATTGATGAGATCAGGACCTCGATGCACTGTGTCATTGAGTGATGTTCCCTGGAACTTGGCCGCACAGTCAAATACGATCCTGAGTTTGTCTGGCTTATGCGGATGAAATACTGGGTGATGCGGCAGGTACCAAACTGCACCATCGGCTCTCTCCAGCTGCTCTGATGGCACTTCTTCAGCATAGCCCTTATCCATCAACTCCTTGATGCTCGAAGTGTACTTGTCTTTCATCACTGGATCCCTCGTCAATTTCCTTCCGAGTAGACGCAGGCGATGTTGTGCCATAGCCTTGTTATCAGGGAGACAGGGTGGCCTTGTCTTGAATGGAATGTCCATTGCATAATGTCCATTCTCTAGATGAATAGAGTGTTCCCATACAGCTATCGCCTTTCTGTCACTTACTGACATGCTTGTATCACAACCTCCAAGATCCTCCATCAGCCAAAACTTCTCAACCTGACGTTGAAGACAGACATCAGCATCAATGAAGTGTGAAGTTACCCTGTTCCGAGGCCCCGATTTGACTGGTCCGTTAAGTGTCCATCCCAAAATGGTCTTGGTGGCGTAGGGTGTTCCAAAATCACCTTCACGAACTTCTTTAGGGGTCATCGCAGAAGGATTATCCTGCCCAATGATTAGGAGTACGTCATTAGGGTTGACATCAGGCAGTACAATATCCCGCAAATGTGGCCATGAGCTGATCTCCTCCCGCGTTACCAAACAATCAGAGTTGACACATATGTTGGGCCTCGTCATAACATTAGACATGACGAGAAGATTTTCATCATTGACGTCTGTGACTTCCAAATCGACGACAAAAGTATCAACAAGTGTGTTGTGGTCATCTAGTGTTGTGAGCTTCACAGTGTCACGCCTGCCATGAATTCCGAGTTCTCTCGCCAAAGCCTCCGCACAAAATGTCTGCGTGGACCCAGTGTCAAGAAGTGCACAGGTAGTGATGAAGTCTGTGGAACCTTTACCTCTCACCTTGACGGGCTCAATAGGTAGAACCACCTTCCCAACTCCGGCTTCAGTGATGTTACGTGTCACATTACCGGAGGTACCTGGACTTGTGGTGACAAATGGCGGTGCCTGTGCTGACAAAGATGTAGAAGGGTTGTTTCCCGTGTCTGTCCATGTTGAGTTCCTGCTGCGAAGTAGATGCAGAAACTTTGTATGCTTGAGACCACAACCGGGAACAGTTCAGACAGTAGCTCTCTCACAGTCGCGCCCATAATGTCCTGGCAGAAGGCAATTCACACAAAGATGTTTGCTGCGTACGAACTTCAGACGGTCTGCAACTTTCAACGCCTTCCAACCATTACAACCAAATAAGTCGTGCCCTTGAGCACAGTACGGGCATACAGCAAAGCCTACACTAGGACCAGTAACCTCTCCACCTGACTTAGGTTTCTGCTTTGGCTGAGACTGGCGACTATATGAAGTAGTCTTCTGAGATGGTGTCTGCTCCACTTGAGTGTTAAAGCTGGCACGGGGCTTGCTCTTCCAACTTTCCTTTGGTGTGTTCTTGCGTGATTTGTCAGGTCGATCTCCACTCAGTAGTTTACTAAACACAGGATCATTTGCACGCTCTGCAGCTACAGACACAAACACCAACACGTCATCAATTGTGGGAAGCCTCATTTCGATGTACTTAAGATGGTGAACCCTTTTCAGCCAACCCTTTCTGAGGTCAAACGGCAACTTCTCGATGATTTTAGCCAAGCTCTGCCGATTATTCAACTCCTCAAGCTTGCCCATCGTCTGCAACGTCTCGCGACAATTTCTCAACTCGTCTGAAAACTCCAGTAACCCCTTGTTGTCAGAAACAGCAGGACGACCGACAATCTTGTTAATCCATGCATCTGAGATGTCATATGCATTTCCAAATCGGCTCTGAAGCAGCTTTCTTGCCAGACGGTAACCTTCACTGGGCTCCTTGACAGCACAGCACTGTATAAGCTTCCTAGCTGGACCTGTACAATACTGCATCAACCTAGCAAGCTTTGCACCATCACCAACTGTTTCTTTGTCGACTATGTTCTCGAAGGCGCGAATAAACATCCAATATTTGACAGGTTCGCCATCAAAGCTCATCAACTCGGTTTTTGGTAGCTGAAGAGTCTCGACCAAAGATTGCTGCTGTAAGTGACTGTTATTGAGCATTTGCACCAAGATGTCTCCTGTCCGGTCATCGCTGGCTATGGTTGAAGGTAAGTTGGACGAACGTCGTCTAAGCTCAGGGTAAGTGTGGTAAGCAGTATTTGTAGGAGCATTTGTATCAGGCATCTGTGTTGTTTGTGTGTGACTGGACAATCGTGCTCGTGGTTTGTCATCTAAATCACGTGGAGTTGACTGCATGAAACGTACCGAATGCGCCTCAAGTTCTTGTGCTTCAGCGTACGTCTTCTCAACAGCTTCGGCCATTGCGATCTTGATTTGCAGTTCCATTTGACGACGACGTTGGCGGAGTTTAAGCTCCTCTTCTCTGTGTCTCATCTCAAGCAGAAGTTCCTCACCCTCAAGAGCTTGTCTCTGTATCTCAGCAACTGCTTGTGCCTCCAAAGACGACCTCTCGGCTATAGCTTTAAGCCTTGCGCTCGACGCAGTAGTAGAAACTGATGAGGTTCCACTGGTGGATGAGTGCTGTTTACTGACAGAACTGACAGAGTCTGAAGGCTTAACTGTGTCTTGAAGCTGCTCGTCATTAATCTGTGATGATGTCGTTCCAGTTGTTGACGCATCTCTGCTATCCCAGCTACGACGATGTTCTGATAATTCATTGCAGACCTTATATCATCTTCATCAGTCAGAAGTTGAAGGAATTCCCTTTGTTTAGACATGAACTCATCAAAGCGTTCTTCCAACCGTTTTGATAAATCAGAAACAAGTTCAAGGTTGTCCGGGTCCTTCATCAGAACTTTGATTTGATTCTTGATTCTGGTAACATTTGCCTTAAGACGATCCCGCTGTGTCTTCAAATCTGCAAGTACATCTGCACCAATATCAACTTGTGGGTCACTCATCGCCATTTTGATTCGACTTGCAGTTGTGCTCAAAATTGAACTGATGTGACCTCCCCAGATTACAGAAATACCAATACGCTCAGTTTGAAACTCATGCTTGGATTGCTGTCACAAAGTTTAATTCACAATTCACAGTGGTGTGTCTAGTAGCAAGTAACATGTACAGTAGGATGTGGCAAACAATCAGGTTGCAAGTAGTAGTAGCAAGTAGCAAGCAAGCAAGCAAGCAAGCAAGGTTCAACAATAGAAAACAAAAAGAAAAGAAAAACAAAAACTAATTTTGAGTCAAGTGCTCTATAAATCTATCCATGGTAAGTATAAATAACAACACTTTTCATCTTACAATGTCTTTCAATCATATAAAAGGGCTCAATGACAAACAAGGAGTGACTCACATGGTTCAATTTGACTGGCTAAATAATCCATATTTACACACAAATTTCCTTTTCAATTATGAAAATAAATCTCTAATCACAGTCATAAATAAGTAAATAAATGTCAGTAAACTTACTTTTGCTGAGCTTCCAAAGGGATGTCACATATAAATGGCAAATCACAGAGTGTTGTCATTACATGTCTGCATACATGTAGGTGTCTGCATAGGTGTGCACATGTACATGTACATACACATGTACATGTGGTCATGCATGTCCAAGGAGCTGACCACACCCAATCAAACAGCGCCCTCAGGCAACAAAAATGCAAGAGCTTTTATGCATAATTATGCAAATAAGAAAAGTTTACTAGACTTGTTCACAAGTGTCAAATTCAGTCTGTTACAACCTCTTTTCCCCTTTTTTGAAGGGTAGACAGGGGCACAACGGAATATCAGAGGCACATTGGACAAGAAACACACTCTTATTGAAAGGTCTTATTGAAAAAGATTAGCCAATTTATTATGTAGTTCATCAAGTGACCTGTTTCTTGTAGCAATGGCTTTTTCTGTTTGAAAATACAAATGTACCAAGTTTTTAAAGGCAGTTATCGACAAGAGTGGTAAATCCTGACACTTATTATTAAAGATAAATTTTTTCGCTACAATAATAATAAAAGACATTCCCTTTCTGGCAGTAAACCAAAACAAATATCTCTACAACTTACAGTCACTGGAGCATGAGAGGTAGAATTAAGCCAAGTAACAATATCTTTCCAGAACAGCTGATTTTTTTCACAATCCCAAAAGAGATGTAGCAAACTCTCACGCTCTTCATTACAAAAGAAGCACATGTCAGAGTCCTTCTTTTTAATGTTGTAAAGGAAAGTATTTGTCGGGATGAGAAAATGAATAAATTTATATTAAAAATACTGCAGCTTAGAATCTTTGGTAATCCTAAACGGAATTTGATGTACCTCATCCCACTGTGGAGAGAATCCAAGTAAAGTGGTCCACTTCTGCTGGCACTTAATAGGCTCTTGAGCTGCAGCTTGGACAATGAAATTGTAAACATACTTGGAAGGCTTTTTCTGATTACAAAACTCGTGAATAAACAATAAATTAGACTCAGTCTCATTTGTCAAGTCAAAGCCAACCACTTAAGATTTCTATACCTCAACTAAAAATCATGAAAAGTTAAAATATTACCATCTTCTGAACAAAGATCTTTAACTTTTAGAACTCCTTCTTTCATCCAGGAGCGATAAAAAATACATTTGTCATTTATTTTAACATTGCTATTGAACCAAATAATCTCCGACAAAAAATGGGTAGAAGGTTTTACTTTTTGCAATTCTAGCCAAGCCCTGACAACATCTTTAAGGAAGCTGTCTTTTAAAATATGGAATGGAAAATCTGAAGGAGAAATATTCAATTTCCGAATTATATCGTAAATACCAGCCTGTTTAAAACGCCATTGACAAAAAAGCTTCCACTTTGCCTCTTTCGAGCTGTCAAGAAGTCTCTTGATCCAAGTACACTTAAGACCCTTTTGGAAAGAGTCTAGATCAAGCATTTTCAAACAACCATGCTTGTACTCATTAATAACAACTTTCCGGCTGACTCGGTCAGGCTTCCCATTCCAAATAACTTTGTAAACCAGTTTGTTCACCTTAGAGATATATTCCTGAGGAGGATTAGGTAGCACAGTCAACAGAAAAGTCAATTTTGACAAGGCTAAGCTTTTAACAATAGTGATCTTGCCAATTGGAGTCATGTCTCTCCTGGACCACAATTAAAAAAGGTTTGAATTTTTTTCCAACTGATCATCGAAATTCAGGTGAAATAAATCCTTTCCATCATGAGTAAAGAATATACCCAGAAATCGAACTGGCCCATTAGTCCAGGAGAGACTCCTACCAATCGGCTGAATATCCTTGCAAATCTCATTGGACCAAGTTTCATAGCCTCAGATTTATTAAAATTAACTTTGAAGCCAACTAAAAGCCGTCAAGAATCTCAAAAGTACAAGAAATGGATTTTCTGCTCCCATCCCAAAAAATAGTAGTATTATCGGCATAGGAACTAATTTTCAATTCTTCATCCTCAACTTGAATACCTGCAATATCAATAGAGCGTCTAATACAGATCGCTAGTAATTCAACGGCAATAATAAATAAATATGGGCTCAATGGACATCCTTGGCGAACCCCTCTGGTAACATTAAATGAATGTGAAACATAACCGTTATTGATAATGCAACTAGAAATATTACAATAAAGAGTAGGGATCCACTTTATGAAATCTTTTCCAAAATATAAATAATTCAAACTTTTTTCTACGAAGGACCATTCTAATCTATCGAAAGCTTTTTCAAAATCCAAAAAAAAAGAACCATACCACGAGAAGCATTTTTTGAGGTTAATTTAACAGTGTCAAGCACAAGACGAATATTATCACCCATATATCGATTTTTTATAAAACCGGTTTGATCATCGTTAATAATTTAAGGGAGAACAGTCTTAAGTCTGTTTGCAAGTACTTTGGCACATATTTTATAATCGACATTAAGAAGAGAGATAGGACGCCAATTTTTCAAATCACTAGGATTTTTACCTGGTTTTGGAATTAAATTATTCATCCCTCTCCTCTGATCTACAGACATTTGACCACAATTGAAAGAAAAGTTGAAAGATGCAATCATTAAATTCTTAATATCAGACCAAAAGACTTTATAGAATTCAGCTGGGATGCCATCACAACCAGGGTCTTATTGTTACTCATTTCTTTAAGAGCAGCTAGACACTCTTTTTCTTCCAGAGAACCATCACACACAAACTGGTCATCTTCGGTCAACTTATTCTCAAAATTGCTAGGAATTAACTCATCATTTTGGAACTGCTCTGTGGAATCAGAGTGATATAATGTAGAGTAGAAATTAAACTCCTGCCTCAAAATGTCCGACTGATCTGTAATGACATCCCCGTTCTCACACACAAGCTTAGAAATAGACTTATTTTTTAAATTCCGTTTTTCTAAACTAAGAAAATATCTGGGCATTTTTCTTCCTGGAAGCATACTTGAGCGTTTCATCCCTAATCTCGCTTTAATAACTTCCCATAAAGTACTGGGGTTAGCCGAGGTATTGACTTCTGTAATGTACTTAATAGCATTTTTAATATTACAAACATAATCTTGTCAAAAGCGAGGTGTTTAATTTCCAAAAATCCCTGCCCCTCTTGTTATCAGCATTGGTGAGCGACAAAATAATCATAGAGTGATCTGTTTTATAACCGGGAATAATGTCTGTCAAATCAGTAAGACCCCAAAGATGGTTAGAAATTAAAAAATAATCCAATCTGCAAAAAATCGGCGGGGAATGGTTTGATTTCCAACTGAAATGTCGAACACCAGGATTGTTCTCTCTCCAAACATCAATTAATTCCAGGGAATCCATAATAGTCGAGATTTTATCCTGCACTTTAAAATTAGTACAAGGCCTACAACCTTTCTTATCAAAAGTAACATTCCTCACCGCATTAAAGTCTCCTCCCCCCATAATGATATTGCCACAATCAAACTCTGACATTTTTTGAATAATCAAATAAAAAAAAAATCAGGCCAGTCTTCATTACAAGCATAAAGATTAACTAACGTAAAAACCTCGCCATCAACCTCGATATCAACTATAATAAATCTCCCAGAGAAGTCAATCAAATTTTTCTTAACAGTATAATCCAAGTCATTTTTAAACAAAATAGCAACACCTTCTTTGTTAGATTTATCGTGGCTAAGAAAACTAGGATGTCCCCACTCGTTAGTCCAGATTTTCTCTGATTTCAGTTCGCTATGCGTTTCTTGCAAAAAGAAAATCGAGAATTGTTTCTTTCTCAACCAAAGAAAAAGTTGTCTGCGTTTGAGGTTATTATTCATCCCTCTGACATTAAGAGAACAAATATTGATTTTACCCATTTAACTCTCAAGGAAAAACAACAACATGTATCATCTTTGCATATAACCACATCTTATGAATTTTGGGGGGAGATGGTGAGAAAAAGTAATAATACTGATTTCCTGCAGGAGAAGTCTCTTGAAGTGTAGCATCTTCCGTCTCTTCTTCCGTACTTGAGGGGTGAAGTCCTCCGACACGAAGACATTCTCGTTCTTTAACACCTTGGGAGCAGCCCTTAATATCATCTGCTTGTCTGAGTAGCGGAAGAAAGCCACATGGTTTTGGACATGGTCCCTTACCCCGCGTTGGAACAGCCGGTGCTCTGTGTGCCCTTTCTATCTGAATATCGGCATCATTTGTCAGCTTCATCTGGTCTCCAAGAAAACTCTTGATGAATGAGGTGCACGAATCATGATCACACTCTTACAATGACCAGTGGGCTTGGCAAAAAGGTTAACAATGTGGTGACCCAAGTCCATCTAGATACCACAGAGTGTAATAAGTACAGAAGAGTGACTATTGTCAGACATTTGTACATATTACATTGTAAAGAAAGTCCAACAGTCTTCTATCAAATTCGCAACATGTTGCGTCTGCCAATTGAAAAAGGGAAATGGAGGTCGGATGTCACCCCAAATTTTGGATTTGAATTCATTACATGACTGTTTAATGATAGATGCAATACCTTTCTTTTGCAATACTGAGGCTTGGGTCACAAAAAGGGCGTTTTGACAAATAAATATAAAAAACAACGAAAAATAAGGTATAAAGTTCATTGACCTATTAAAGGGTACCAAAGGTCCGATTATGATGTCCCCATATCTGAAAATGTTTTTCATGTCACAAAAGAGCCTACTTGTAGACTTAGGTCCTGAGAAAGTTGGGTTTTGAATAATAAATCTTATAAATATCTATAAATAGAGCATACAGAGTTCATTGACCTCTTAAAGGTCACCAGAGGTCAGATATGAAATACCATTCATATGAAAATGCTTTTCATACCATGAACGCCTAACGTTTAGAATTGGGTCTTGAAAAAGTTGGGGTTTAAAGTGGTAATCTTATAAATTACTATAAATACTGTATATATATAGGTCATTGACCTCTGAAAGGTCACCGGAGGTCAAGTATGATTTTTTTCATATCAGATCATTATTTCCATTGCCTGAAGACCTCTGACATAGACTGGGGTCATAGGAAAGTGGTGTTTTCAAGAACAATTAGTATAAATTATGTATGTAAAGTTCATTGACCTCTCAAAGGTCACCAGAGGTCAAATATGAAATGTCTCCACATCTGAAAACTTTCTTCGTGGCATGTAGAACCAACATGCGAAGTTCCATGCTTTAGTCACAAAATGCACAATCGTGTCACTCAACAGCCCCACTAGTTGGCATTACATTCACTGAGTGGACTTCCGAACAAAAGAGGTCCACAAAAGCCAGGTAGAGTCGGCGTTGGCACGTGTGGACGTGGGCAAGTCCACACAGTGTTCCCCCTTTCTAGAAAACAGGTTTAGAGGCATTTTGGGGTTAGGTTTATATGTAGCAAAATGAAGAGAAACACTAAAGGGAACCATCGAAAAATAGTTGGATTGAAAGTGTTTCACAGTGACAGTAAAATGATTTTTTCAGAGGTTTTTCTTAACTACACGAAACCAAAGGAATATCCACACTCGGTATGTAGCGTGGGTGTGTGCGGTTGTGTGTGTGCAGGAGCTGAACGTGCGCTAATCCTGTTCGTAAGTGGCTACGTCATACATCACGTGACGGTGAACTTCCGGCTCCAACTGCAAGTTTGGCGAAATAGAAAGTGTACTGTCAAAGGTCGTCTGTCAACACAATCAGCTGTTTTTTGTTTACAATATCGAGTAAATGGAACCGGTGTCGTGTTTTACTCTTTGTAGTTTTTTTTAAGGATCATCCAGAGCGACTTAAGAAGGCCGAAAATGCCTTGAAATCGGGGAGAGTGCTGTTTGTTCATGTTCAACCAGGCGGTATGATCATGGGGAGGGTTCAGGCTTCAATGAAGCAGCGAAGTTACAGAGTGGAGGTAAGCGCAAGCGTCTCACACTAGTCAGGGCTGGTCACTTAGACATTCATTGATAGGCGAATGTACACGTGTTGCTTACTTTTATTTCTAAATTATCATAAAATTACCGTTATTACTTTGTTTGTAATTCGGCATAGGGAAGGCCAAGGGACAGGTTGCCAGACACCAATTGTTAGTACTGCTTCCAACAGCTTTAGAATAGATTGTAGAAACCAGAGTATTGATTACACACTGCAACCAAACACACATCATCATAATTAAGTCACTGAGGTTATGACCACTTATCCCTCTCGTGACTCTACTTAGACACAGTTACTGTCTGTCCCCACGTATTGCACAAGAACACTAAGGTTTCGGAACTGCGGGCCCCACATTCATAGCCTGGTTTCAGGAGTACATAGCTATACTTGTTTTTGAAAATTGACACTTTTAATTTATCTCCTTAATTATTATATCAGTTGTCATGGCGAAAAAAACAATTGAATGAATGAATCATTACAATAACATGTAGTAGGGGGGGCCTACTTTACCAAGTGAAAAGGCTAGCTTTTAGGCTATTTTATTTAGGCTAGATTCCAAACAGTGAATGCAGACTACTATCTATTTTCTACCATGTACATTTTTGGGAAGGCCTATCCAAGTATTAAATTAAACTAGGCCTAGCTGCCGGGGAAATTTTACTGGTTAAATCCTTACCACTTTACTTTTCCAAAATGCATAATGGTGAAATTAGCTTAAGATTTTAAAACACACAAATTTAATCGTTCATAACTTACAAGGTACTCAATTTTGTTGGAGGATCGGAGGCAGACAGTTTCTTTTGGGGATATAATTGTGCAGACATATTGGAGAACTTCACAAACACCCATAAAAACTTTTTAACTGTGCACTTTGATAAGATAATCTTAATTACTTCTACAATTTGCAAGTACCCCAATTTGGTGTCAACTTCAATGGAAATTATTTACCTTGTAGTCAATTTGAGTGAATCGCATGTAACAGTCATCATTATTTTAATTTTTCGTTTTTTAATCTTTTAGTTGCAGGTTTCTGAGCAGATGGTCACTTTTTCATCATGTGAATGCCCAGTGGGCCAGGACAGATGTCACCACATGGCAGTGCTCCTCCTATGGATTCAAAAGAATGTTTCAAGAACTGATCTTGAGTGCAGGTGGTCCCGCCCCAAACCCTGCAAATCCCAAGAAACCCCAACGAAGAGACTTTCACAGCTGACTCCAAGTACAAGTACAGGTAATTTAGGAAGACAGTGATTCTTTGTGTGTGGGGTGTCATGGCCGAGCTGTCTAGTACACCCGACTCATGTTCTGGTGGCTGAGTCATCAGAATGTGGGTTCGAATCCCGGCCAGGCCAGCTGTGAAGTTTGTGTCCTTGAGCAAGACCCTTTACCATGGTGTTCATCTTCGCCCATGTGTATAAATGGGAACCTGCAAGGGCCAAGATGGCACGGTGTTTGATTAATCCCTTAGCGCTCAGTAGCAGCTTGAGGTTGTATGCTCCCCAGGGAGTTGAGAAAGTTTCAGGAAGGATTAAGTGTGCCCAATGATCAGGGTTTTAAAATGCGCCTATTGTAAGCGTTGTGATTTATTAAAGCAACTTTAAAAGTTGATTGTACCACAAACCTGTGCCTGCCAACACACAACGTTACACACCGTTTCCCCAACCCCCTGATGATGTGGCATTAAACTCTGTTGTAGAGATAGTGGATACAATTTCTTACAAGTAATTTTAATTTTTTTTTTATTTTTCAGCTGGAATGAAAAGACTTGTGGAAGAGGAGGATAGGGAGTGGCTATTACAGAGAGTTTCCTTGCTAGGAAGATTCACTGGGATTGGGTGGATCCTTTCCTGACCAAAGAACCTGAAGTGGTAAGATTGTGGTCAATAATTAACCGTATTAATTTCACTGGTAGTTTTAAAAGTAAAAGAGTATTTAAACAAAAATTAAATATTGTAATCATGCACAATGACCAAATAGAGTGCATGCACTAAAATAAAAACAATTTTAAAATGTTGTTTGATTTAGGTGTAATGCTTCCCTAACTGTGTGAAATCAATGGCAGCATTGTTCAAACTATCACCTTTGCCGCATGTCAGTATATTTTCTTCAGGGTTGGTTTGTGGGTTCTCCACCCAATCAACACCACATTCTGGACTTAAATTTTCACTAACAGACTTTTAGGCAACTTTTTCAATAGGTCAAACAAGTAAAAAGCTATGCTTTTATAACAAGCACACCTGAATTTGAACATGCCCCGGACAAAGTAGAGTATGTAGTAGAACACATGGCTGTTTCTGAAGAGGATGTCAAGGTGATTGAAAGGACTACTGTTGGTCAACGTCATAATGCTTTGTGGAAAGCATTTTATAGTTGTTGTTTCACTTTTCAAACAGATTTTTCATTAGTAAACAAATTAAATGCTACTTTTACCGAGGACAATACAGTTTTGTATTCCTATGTAAAGTAAAATGACTATTTACTTTATAAATCTGGATTGCAAGCACAAGAGAACTGAAGTGCAGTTTTTAAGAGTGATGTCTTTGGGCATGCAAGTAAAAAAACCCAGACATATTTAATTGTTATTTTCATTTCTTGATGTGTAGGTTTGCGTATAAACAAAATCGACTAACATCCAGCAACTTTGGTGCAGTTCTTGGTGCTGTGAGGAGAAACTCCACTCCATCATCCTTGTTAAAGACACTCAGAGGCGAATATGGGTCAGCAGGACGATCTTCAGTGAGTAACTGATATTTTTTTTATGTACACACTATTTGTTTTTATTAAGTTGGTATTTCAGCAAAATAAAAGAATACATGTATATACAGTGATGGTTATTATTGACTGGGTTGGTGGCTGGCCGCCGTTAATGAAACAGGCGGCCAGCCTGTTTTATTTTGCTGAAATACCAACTTAATAAAAACAAATAGTGTGTACATAAAACAATATCAGTTACTCGCTGAAGATCGTCCTGCTGACCCATATTCGCCTCTGAGTGTCTTTAACAAGGATGGTGGAGTGGAGTTTCTCCTCACAACACAGCACCTTTGGCTTAGTCCATAAACAGCGGCTAGCCCTTCAGCAGCGTAGCCAGGACTTTTTCGGCAGGGGGGCACAGGTGGTGGGTGTGGGGGGGGGGGCTAGCTTTCAGTGGGAGGGCCAGCAGGGGAAAATCAAGACATTAGCTCTGATTTAAGCCTCCCCCTTTTTTCACAGTTAATTACACTTTTTGGGAAGAAACACTGTTAGGATTTTTGGCTACGCCGCTGTAGCCCTTAATAACCCAGTCATCTGACAGTTTAGAACGATTCCTCACACCGTTATTCTATAATTACTTCTGTTGATTACAGGCTATTCAGTGGGGAGTGAATCATGAGGACATAACTTTGGAGAAGTATTCAGCACTCGGCGGATGTGATGTTCAGCCAACAGGCCTGTTTATCATGGATAATGGACAACTAGGGGCATCTCCTGATGGTCAAGTCAGCAAGGACTTAATTGTGGAAGTTAAGTGTCCGTGGAGTGCAAGGGCTACACCTTTGATTGAGTTGGCAATGAAGAAAGACTTCTTTTTGTTTAATGACCCAACTGCAGCCCCTGGTATGCTGAAGCTAAAAGAGACTCATAAATATTGGCACCAAGGACAAGGTGCTCTCCACATAACTGGCGCAACAGCATATGACTTTTTTGTGTGGACACCAACGGAGTACCATTGTATCAGGATCCAAAAAGATCCAAAATGGGCTTCAAATATTCCAATTCTCACACAGTTTCATCGAAAGGTTCTTCTTCCAACTGTCTTAGGAAGTTGAATAAATAAGTACTTAAATGTTACAGTTCATTTTGTCTTGCCAGAATCATAGAGGATCACAGTTTTGACGGGGCAAGTACTAATTGTTTTGTCTGATGTACCTCATATGTGGAAGTCTGACTTTAAAAACATGGTAGAGGATTTGTGATTATCATCAAAGAAAAAAAAAGAATATTACATTGGTATAGTTCCTTTCTCATAAATCAATCTTTACAATCGCCACTTGTTACGATAATTACGGCACCAGGAGTGTCATGTATGACAGACATGGCGCGTTATAAATTTCCATTATTATTGCCTGTATTACTGGTACCACATGTCCTACAAAATATTTCTGAAAAAAAGTAAAACTGCTGCAAACTGCTTACTGACTAGATGGACCTGAAATATATAAATCTTAAAATTAATGTGGCCTGACGTTGCGAACTAAGCAAGTTCTTCTTCAGAGGCTAAAACAGAAATGACAGAGGTACATACATTAACATGGGGGTGCACACAAACATGCAGGGCTGAAAGAAGAAACACAAAAGGAGGATTAGGTGTGAAAGGTGTGGAAAGAAATGGAGTGGTTAGGCAGGTTGAAGTGATGACCAACAGGGGTGTCTAGTTTCTTGGTGTTGACCGTTGACCGGTGGGCATAGAAACGCTTCTTGAGCGTATCACCTACAAACTGCACTCCACAGACCCTGCAAGAAATGAGATATATGACATTAGAAGTGTTACAAGTGATGTTACCAATGGTTCTGTGGGTAGTGACAGAAGAGTGGCCAGAAAAGGAGTCAGACCCCTGGATATGAATCTGGCAGACAACACATCTGGAACTGCACTTGAAAGTACCATGCTGGGTGGGAGGGGATGCATCTAAGGAAGGGACTTCAGCTCGAACAATCAAGTCCCGTAAATTTCGAGGACGCCTGTAAGCCAATGTGGGGCCGTTGGGGATGGCGCGGGCAAGGCGATCTGAAGTATGGAGGATATGATGATTGTCATTAGTGATTTTGCGAAGGGGAGAGAGATTGGGGTGAAACGTGGTAACCAAGGGAATCATGGGTTTGGCCATGGCATCAGGGGCCTTTCCCGTGAGAGCTAGATTTCTGGGGATAGCTTTAGCTCTGGCAATGGCACGATGAACTTGGCGAGAGCTGTGACCCCTGGCCACCAAGTTGTTCCTCAGTATCTGTGTATGGCGGGAGAAATCGGAATCATTGGAACAAATTCTTCTGAGTCTGAGTGCCTGGCTAAACGCTATGCCAGTTTTGCAGTGCCTGGGGTGACAGCTGGAGGAGTGGAGGTACTGGTGGGTGTCTGTGGGTTTGGAATACAGGTCAGTGGTTAGTGAGTTGCCTTGCTTGCGGACGGTGACATCCAGAAAGTGGGTTTGGTGAGCCGAGAACTCCGATGTGAATTTGATGGTTCTGTGGAAGGAATTGATGTGGTTAGTGAAGGTCAAGAGACTGTCCTCATCACTGGTCCAGATGAAAAAAACATCATCAATATATCTCCACCAGATCCAAGGGCGACATGGGGCCGAGGCAAGAATGCGTTCTTCGAGGTCGCCCATGAAGAGGCAAGCCATCGACGGGGCCATGCGAGTGCCCATTGCAGTGCCGTGTACCTGTAGATAGTGTTCACCAAGGAAGGAAAAATTGTTCTTCGTTAGTATAAGTTAAAATATTTCTGACTGAAATGCTGTGTCATCTTTGAGGAAATTGCACTTGAATTGATGAGAGTGGCTCTTGCAAACCACTCTTTAATGCATTGTAACATGTACAAAAACCATTACAAAACATGTAATCTGGCACTGTTTTCTGACAATCCAAGGCTGTACCATCCCTTTAACAAAGTTTAAATTGTGACCTATTTCTTTTTAAATTGGTCCAGTTGAATAATCAAACTTTGACACTGTAAATTTGTGAGCAAGTGCATGCAATTCATTATATTCGGCCGATATACTGTGGTCCTGCTGTATCTTCTTTCTCACGAAATCACGTGATCAGCCTTTGCAGTGGATATTGGGTCAAAGTTCTCTACTTGAATGTTGGTTTTACAGAAAACTATCCCTCTGTAATGTATTCATTTATTATTATTATTACAATAATTATTATATCTTTCTGGAAATGAAACCAAGGAATCCTCAAAGTAATTATAGCAATGTAGCCCATAGCCTGAAGAAACCTGTGTGAAGAGAAGACGACAAAGACATGTTCAGTTTTAGATGTGGGAGGAAAACCCCAGATGGTGAAAACCCATGAAATCAAAACTCAATCTACATGCGAGGCCTCGGTCCAAAGTGGAATAGACCCATGTATTGAAGACGTCACGGTTTGTTTACTGCATTGCTTAAGTGCTGTACCTGGGTACCGTATTTCCGACAGTTGTGCAGCTACACAATCGTTTCCTATTCTTCTGCAACGATGTAAACAAGCCCTGACATCATCAGTACATGGGTCTTTTGAACCAGGGTCCTCATAGGTACTGAAAGGCAGGGAAGATACCGCTTAGCCAACCTGATCCCCAATTTTTGTATTTGCAGTCTTGCCCTAACTGATACGCAAAGGGTTATGTAAACATAATACAAAAATCAACACGATGAAAATATGTTTTAAACAAATAACTTAATTTAATTGTAAATAAAGATTCCAATAATTAACAATTGATAATTTCTATTTTAGGAACTGTTTTCATATTTATATTCTTAATTATATACATGTATATTAATATATTATCTTAAACTAATATTCTATTTATAATTTATATTAGACTCCTCAGTGATGAGGTATAATTGTTTTTCTTCCCAGTTTACTGTATACAGGGTATACTGTATACTGTATAGGGAAACCCACTTTGGACAGCACAATATTCAATTTAATGGTATTAAAATTTTCTTTAACCATGCATGGTAAAAAAAAAAGTTTTACATTGCAAGGACAGTGTTGTTATGCTTACAATTGGATACCAGTCACCAAAATCACTGTTGTCTCAAATCAAGCTCTGGAGCTCAATCAAGCGGATGGAATAAAGCTGTCGTCTGCGGACAAACGGGTTTGCCACATGAAATTTTTAAACTACCGTAATCTCAGAGACAAAATATGCATTTTCAATCATTTTTTCATGACTTATGTTTAAAGATCAATATATTTTAATTGCATTAAATTGGGTTTTTGAAATATGCTCAACAAGTAGGTGAAAATGGCTGTCAAAAGTGAGTTTCCTTCTTTTTGCAACCACCGTCTATCATAAAATTAAGACAATCATAGCTTTTCACAGAAGCAATTAAATTTATCTTCAAGCAAACTTGAATCCTTCATTCTGACTGGTCTCTTAAGTGTATGAAAATTAGTTGACATCCCTTATTGGTTACTTTTATTGGAAAGTGCACTTATTTAAACGTTTCAAATTGCCCATGCTTTTCCAGACAACTGAGGGCACTGTTTGCCATAGTGTCATGTCAGAACCCCAAAATTTGCTCATTGAAAACATTTGTGAGAAAAGTTTGCTCATTGGCTTACTGCCATAAACTGACACAACAAATCATTAAAGAAAAGAAAGTTTAAAACAGCGAAATGTCCAAAAATCTGGCAACTTTTTGTGCACAAACCATTGTAACATTGAGGTTTGTTCCTGGCATGACATCACACTTTTGGTCATGAATATGGAAATTCTCATAAGCCTAAACCCCCCCCCCCCCCGCCCAAAAAGCCCCAAAATACCCTTGAAAAATGGCAAGTTGAAAAATAAATATAAGGATAAATGGAACAAAAAGGTGCATTTTTAAGAATTGCAGTTAAGAAAATTAAAGTTTCAGGTGTCCATTAAAAGAGGCATCATCGTTAATTTCTCTATTCTTCAATTTCACGAAGGATAGGTGTTTGAAAGTTAGTAAGACAAACACAACATTTGAATATTTTATCAGCTTGGCTCTTGAACTGATACGGAATATGGTCCAAAATTGCGAAAATTTTGACCCTCTGAATTGCCCTTTCAACGTGGATGCGGGCACATGCAATGAGTTTGTTATTGTGTGCCTCTGTTTTGGTTAACTGGCCATTTAGGAGAAGTGATGGAACATTCAGTGACACGCCTTGAGGAAGAATGTCGTGAATTAGAAAACCTTTATCTGCCAAGATCATGTCTCCTTCTTCAAGCTTGTCCAGAATACCACAATCTAATGTTATTGCCTTGTCTGACACACTCCCTCCATATAGATTACTAGCAAAAGTGATTACACCATTGGGTGCAACCCCTATCAAAGACTTCAAAGTGGTTCTACCTTTGTAGTTACTGTATAGGCTACACTGTGCATCTACATGTAGTTGTTCAGTATTGTCTACTGATATTTCCGTACAATCGAGCACAATTCGACAATTGGGAAACTTACTAAAGCACGAAGGCATAGACAGTGCATATTTGGATCTTGATGGAATGTTTCTTTTCCATCATGCCAACATACAAGATATTGTACAATGCACTGATGATAGTGTTAAACACATTACTTACAGTTGGCCTACTGCAGTTAAATCTAGTAGCTATATCTTCATGCCCAATGTTTAATTTCAGTTTCATCAATGTTATGAACAACTGATCTAGAAGCGAAAATTTTTCAACAACCCCGTTACTGTAATATTTCAAGGAAAACCTTTCAAGAAGGTCACATAAAAACCTTACTGTTGCAGCATCTGGTAAGCCTGTGTAATACCTAACCTTGACTTGACTCTTTTCAATGTCAGAAAAAGAAAATCTTTGCCTCTTCAGGTTTAGTTCTTTGGTAAGGTTTTCATTCTCCTGTTTCAAGATTTCATTCTCTCATATTACTTGTATTTAATAGTTATATTTTAAAGTTATTCCATGTTACCAACCTAGGATTGGATGAACAGGCTTTTGAGTCACAGTGTTTTCACTTTTGTTCATCCTGGTCATCTTAGATTGGATTGTCTTTACTCTGCTTGTTGAACTCCCTCCCACTTCCACTCTTCCCCAATCCGCTCCCCTTCTATACATTCC